GAATATTTTGCAACATGTTAGTTTACCAATCCATCCTAAAAGCTTAAGCTGTTAGGAGGTGGGCTAACAATAGTTTAATACTTTAACACTCCCCCTCTCGTGTGGGCTGGAGAATGGACAATCGTGTGGGTAAATTAATTGGAAAGCCCAACACGTGAATATTTAAGTCCGAGATATATTAAAGACCCAACACATGATGACAATTTAAATGGGGATAAAGAGTGCAATTATGGGGGTTTGAACTCAGGACCTCCCGCTCTGATACCAGGTTAGTTTACCAATCCATCCTAAAAGCTTAAGCTGTTAGGAGGTGGGCCAACAATAGTTTAATACTTTAACAGTGAGGGATGGGCAGGAGGGTTGGTGGTTCACAGGTATTTATGGTCCAACAAAAGCTTCGGCTGGGACTCTTTTTGGGATGAATTGGCGGGTTTATGGGAGATGTGTGGTGACAAATAGTGCTTGGGTGGAGATTTCAATGTGGTTTGGAACGTTAACGAAAAGGAAAATAGCTCGACGAATACACGAAGCATGAGAGGATTTGACGAGTTGATAAGAGAAATGGAAGTGATAGACCCTCCTTTGAATAATGCTCTATACACTTGGTCTAATTTTAGAGAAGTTCCTATTTGTTCACGGCTGGATAGATTCTTGTTCTCTTCCAATTTTGGTGGGATGTTCAACCATATTTGATAAGAAGTGTCGGTAAGGAACGTTTCTGACCATTGCCTGATTATTTTGACGACAAATGCACCACCTTGGGGACCATAGCCATTCTAGTTCGAAAATTTGTGGCTGGAGGATCCTCGTTTTAAGGAAAGCGTTGCTGGTTGGTGGAGAGAGGAGGTTAATCAAGGTTCGGTAGGGTAAAAATTTATGACGAAACTTGAGAACCTCAGAAATCATTTGCAGAAATGGAACGAGGAGGTTTTTGGAGACTTAAGAACTAAAAAGTCGAGGTTGTCCAAGAGAATTATGGAGATAGATAAAAAGGAATTGAGTGAAGTAATAATGAAGGAGGATAGGGCTATAAAAATGAAGTCAAAGTTCACTTGGGCAAAGGAAGGGGCTGCAAATACTAAATTGTTTCACAGGTTGATGAACGCCAGAAAGGAAAGTAACGCGATTTCAAGATTGGAGACAACCGACGGGAAGTATTGAGGATGAGGAAGATATTGTGGGCGGAGTCAGCTTTTTTTAGTAATCTTTATTCCTCATCTAGAGGCCAGTTTAGAGGTATTGAAGGTTTGGAATGGATTTGAATATTGGAGATGGAAGTAGTTAATTTAGAGAAACTGTTTGAGGAAGCTAAGGTAAAAAAGGCAGTTTTTGAGTGTGATGGGAATAAGTCTCTTAGGCCGGATTGATATTCATTGTCCCTTTTTCAAGCTTGTTGAATGTGGTGAAACGTGATCTTATGGAGGTGTTGGAGGAATTTCATACTACTGGTGTTAATGGAATTACCAATGAAACCTACATTGCTCTAATTCCTAAGACACTCAATTTGTGTCAAATTACTAATTTTAGGCCAATAAGCCTTGTCACAAGTTTGTACAAGATTATATCTAAGGTGTTGGTTTCTCGCCTTAAGGACGTTTTGGAGAGTACGATCTCGGAGGCACGATGGGCTTTTGTTGCTGAAAGACAAACTTTAGATGTGGCTTTGATAGCTAACAAAGTAGTGGAGGATTATCGGGCGGGAGGCAAGCAAGGAGTTGTGTTCAAAATTGATTTCGAAAAGGCGTATGATCACATGGAGTGGGATTTTTTGGGAGTTTGTTTTAGGACAAAAGGGCTTTGGAGAAAGATGGAAGAGACGGATTTGGGGGTGTTTGGAGTCGGTGTCCTTGTCGGTTATGATAAATGGTAGGCCGAGGGGGAAATTCCGGGGCTCAAGTGGGTTAAGACAAAGAGACCCACTATCTCCTTTCGTATTCACTTTGGTGGTGGATGCTCTTGGTAAAATGGTGGATAAAGTAGTAGGCCAAAGAGCATTGAGGAGTTTAGTTATCAGTAGAGAAGAAATTAATATTTCCCACTTACAGTTTGCTGATGATACTCTTTTTCTTTCTGGACAAAGAGGAAGTCAATCTTCATACCTTATTGAGCATTTTGGATGTTTTTTGCCTTGCCTCCGGTTTGAAGATCAATGTAGGCAAGAGTGTTCTTTTGGGAATTAACTTGGAGGTGGAGGAAGTGGAGTGACTGGCTGGTTAGTTGGCTGTTGGGAACCGGTTGTTTCAAAAGTGGCAATGCGTCTTGACGGGTGGAAAGGAGCTTTTTGTCTTGGGGAGGGAGATTAACACTAATAAAATCAATTTTATCATCTTTTCCGATTTATTTCTTATCAATTTTTAAATTCCTAGAGTGGCAGAGGCAATCGAGAAATTGATGAGACTTCCTTTGGGGCGGATTGGAGGGTGCTAATTCGGATCACTTAGTGGCGTGGGAGAGGGTTTGTAAGCTTAAAGAGAAAGGAGGTTTGGGAATAGGCAACTTGGTTTCTCGAAATAAAACTCCTCTCAAAGTGGCTTTGGTGATTTTTGGTCGAAGGAGGTGCGCTTTCGCCTCGGGTGATAAGCAGTAGATATGGCTCAGACTTTGGGTGTTGGATGTCGGGAGAAGGAAATAGGTTAACATATAGGTGTCCTTTGAAAGCAATTCGAGCTTTGCAGAGCCCAGGTTAAAGTAAAGGTTGGAGATGATAGTAGAGTGAGATTTTGGGAAGATGTGTGGAAGGAGGAAGTTTCTTTCTCAAACCGATTTTTGAGTCTTTTTAGGCTTTCATCCCTTAAAAATGCTTCGATATCTTCGTTTTACTCTATTGCTCATGACAACAATGTTTCCTGGAATTGTTTCTTTAGTAGAGACCCCAACGAGAGAGATGGATGAGCTTTTGGCGTTATCGAGTTTTTAGACGGGGTTAGCTCGAATGTTCTATTGTCAGATAGATGGGTTTAAAATCTTGCGGGCTGTGGCTTGTTTTTTTGCAAATCCTACTCTAATTTTTTGATCGAGGATCGTTCCTTTCCTGTTTCAAATTTTATCATCTTATTTGGAAATCCTCGGTTCCTATTAAAGTTCAGGTGTTTAATTGGTTGCTTGTTTCGAGTAAACTTAACACATGATTTGTTACAAAGAAGAAAGCCTCATTTACTTTTGTGTCTTGGTTGGTGTTTTCTCTGAAAAATAAACGGTGAAACTTTGGATCATCTCTTCCTACATTGTCCCTTTTCATTGTGTATTTGGTATCGACTTCTAAATGAGTTTGGAGTTTCTTGGGTGATTCCTAGATCGATCGCGGATCTCCTAGATGAAGCTTTGGAATATTGCAACACTCTCCATCACTTGGGCTATTTGGCTATAGAGGAATAACTGTATTTTTGAGGATATAGAATTGGATGTTAATGTAGTGTGGGACAGAGTTAAATTTAGTGTGGCACTGTGATTATCTCAAGTTAAAGGCTTCAATTGATTTTCCTTTTCAGATTTACTTTGGGGATGGGATGTAGTCCTACTTTAGTTTTGTGGTTCTAGTCTTTTGTTCTGTTATGCTTTGGTGGACAACTTGTCCCCTGTTGTACCTTATCTTCTCCATTATTCATCAATAATATGCTCTCGTTTCTTTTATATATATATATATAAGTCAAAGATCCGAACATTTCTCCCTTTGAACCTTATAAATTTATTTGGAAATCTTGTGCTCTTGTTAGAATCAAGGTTTTTGCCTAGCTTTTTTTCGCAGAAGATTGAGCACGTGTGATTTAGTGTAGAGGAAACATCCTCTAGTGGCTTTGTCCCCAAGTTAGTGTTTAATGTGCAGGTCAAACTCAGAATCCATGGATCAGTTGTTTATGCATTGTGATTTGGCTTGGAGGAGTATTTGGAGCAGCGAACTTAAGTTGGGTCTTCCTAGCCCTTAGTAATGCGATTCTAGTGGAGAACTGGTTTGGTTTTAGGAAGAACAAGAACGCCCAGCCAATCTGGCGTGCAATGTGGTTGGCTATTCTTTGGGTTATATGGTGGGAGAGAAATCAAAGGATATTTGAAGAAAAAGAAATGTCATTCAAGGATTTATTTGAGACGGCAAAATACTTAGCATCAGTTTGGGCAGATCCTTCTTTCAAGAATTTCACATTATCTTTAATTCTATTAAAGCTGGGACGATGTCCTGAAATGATTTGTGTAGTTTGGTTGTATTTAGCTCTCTGCTCTGTTTTTGATGGATAGCTCAACCATCTTGAAACTTCATTTGTAATCTTTTCATTATTAATGAAGTTTTTGTTCCTATAAAAAAAAGTCTGCGAAAAAATAGCCAGGCAAAAATCTTGATTTTAACAGGAGCACAAGACTTCCAAATAAATTTATAAAGTTCAAAGTAGGGTTTTTTTAAATATCCATAAATTCCCGGAACTCACTTTGTGAGTCTGAATTTGAAAGTGGAGCCGCCAAATCCTACAATCTGTGGAAGGTAGGAAACTTTGACTTTTGTCATGTTGGTGCCTGATAGGTGGATTGAATCCTAGAGAATTAGGGTTAAAAAGCAATTTAGGAAAGTATAGAGTAATTTGAACCCCTTATTCCAGATAGCAGAATATGTTTATGGAACTTGTCGGATTATGTGGGTTATTTTGGGAAAGTTTTAGAATATTCTTTGTTAGTTTCCTGATTCTTAGGAGATTTAGATAGCTGTATATTCTGGTGGTTATTTCTAGATTTTTAGGAGATTCTTTTGCTTGATCTTTGGCTCTCATATTTGTATTTATACCTCCTGTTGTAACCTAATTCGGTATCAATGAATAAGCTATTCTCTCATTTGTTTTTCCTCAGAACTAATCATTCATCACCCTTTGTAACCAATAATCGCACGCCCAAAATTAGCCTTTTAAAATTCTATAAGCATTTTCTCCACATGTTTATATAAAGAGCATGAAACTAGATTCATAAGTTCCATGGCTAATGCATGTGTCTTTTCTTTCTTTTTTCTTCCGCTATTGCAGGAAACTTCTCATGAGGTGGACAGTGTTATCCTCAGATGCTTTGGTGTTTTTCCCTGCAGTTTTTCATTTTATTATCGTGTATCATGCCGGCCGTAAAAGTGGCCGTAAAAGTGAGATTGCTTGGCATATTGCAATGATTTTGCTTAATCCATGCCTCATCCTCATCGATCATGGTCATTTTCAGGTAAAAATTTGGAGCATTCCATTGTTTTCTTCGCTTATTGGTGTCCTTTTATTTTTTTAATCTTCTTAAAGTGCTGCTTTATGAGGTACAAATGCTTAATTTCTCATCTTTAGTGATTCTTTTTTCAGTACAACTGCATCAGCTTGGGCCTAATTGTCGGAGCTATTGCCTCTATTCTCTCAAACAAAGATCTTGTTGCTTGTGTCTTATTTAGTCTCGCTCTTAGCCACAAACAGGTTCTTTTTAATACAAGCTGTCATTAGATGTTGAAATTTTGAAGGTGAATGTAAATTGAATTAGGGGACGAAATAAAAAGCATTTTGAGCCTTCCATGATCGTAAGAAAAAAATAGCCAATTGTAATGGGCAAATTTTTCTGTTAAACAAAATGAGGTACAAACAATTTGATCAGGACTTTCATTTTAAGATTAGACAACTCGGGGAGTGAGATTGAGATTACTGAGAGGAACAGAATGTTGTGTTTTTCAATCCAAATAGACGTGGGTTGTGCGTCTTGGTTGTGTTCAGCAGTTAAAGAAGCTCTTATCATAAGTAAGGAGGGAGGTTGTAGAAGGTTCTACAGAGGTTCTAGCTACAGGACAATTCTAGAATGTAGCAGGAACAAAGGTGGTATTTTCATGAAGATTTCGAAGATAAAAAGTGGAGGAATAAGGAATATTGTAATTTCAGCGGAGTTTGCTTTTCAAGGATGGGAGAAGTTTAGCGGATGACTTCAAAGTTTCTTCAACAAGAATAGTCATAAGAAAGTTGAAAAGGAGGAAGTAGGACTGAGAAAGGGATGCCATTCTGATTGTAAGAAGGTAGAGGTGGTAAAATCTTGGAGAACTTCAGTGGTAGTTAAAAGGAGAAGTGTGGATGCTCATTGGAAGATGATTATGGATTTAATTAGTAGAAGGCTATCGAGGGAGGTGGAGGTGGTTCCTATGGCTGCTAATAGGGCAGTGGTTTGGTGCAAAGATGATGCAAAAAGAAACGCGTGGCTAAAGGAGATATCTCTACTCTAGAGGAAAAACATGGTAGCGAGGTTGGAGCCATGGACAATTCTCTCTCACTGAGAGCACGTTCAGATTGATGCAAGGAATAGTTGGATCGGAATCGAAGGATTGCCTCTGAACCTATGGAATATTCATGCCTTTAAGATTATAGGCATTTCCTGTGGAGGTATATTCTGGAGGTTGCCAAAGAATCGTTGGACCAGTCTTTCCTTATGTTCGCAAAAATCAAAATTAGAGGCTCTTTAGGGAAGGTCTAATGCCACCAGTTTTGGAAGTCCCATATCATGGTGAGAAAATACATATGGGTTTTGGAGAATAGGCAGTTCCAGTCAAATGGAAGAATAGGAGGTTTGTTGATTAGAAGTGTTGAAGAATACACAGCGAGGACTGGAGGAAATTATGAAGTTAGGGGAGATGTAAATCCTGGAATTCGACTGGTGTTGCAAGGAAGTATGGTGAAGAAGTCATAACCTGGCGGCAACAGGGTAGAAAATTCGGTCAGTGGCGTTAGAGGGGAAGAAGATGAAGAGGCGAAAGATATTTTCAACTTGGAGTCTTCTTCAAGCTGGATTCCACGTGCAAAGAAGATTGTGGAGGCGGTCCCATGCGTCCCTAAGAACTCGCCCCACGTGGCGAATCATATTGATGAGCCGCCGTTATTAAAAGAGTTTGGAGTATCGAGGGAAACAATAGTTGAAGAGTCTCTTCTAGGTTCTGAAGCCCATCACGTGCCCTTCCTAAAAAGAGGGTTTCATTCCTTTCCAATAAATTTGGAATTCTGGAGATGTGAGCATTTCAGGGGTTGAGGTCGACTTAAGTGCTCATGCCCAATTTGATATTGGGCTTGTTTCGAACGAGATTACCGAGGGTAAGTTGATATGAACCTCACCAAGGATGGTGAAACCCGGAACCAAGATTGGAATTAAAAAAAAAACCTAGGATCTTCAAAGAACAGATTCTTTTGGTAAACCTTGACCCGTTATCTATGGAAGATACGAACCAAAGGTATGTTAAGATAGACGCCACACACAAGAATAATCAAGAACAAGAATTGAAGAGTGATAAGTCTGGTTTTGAACGCCACAAGGAATCCTTGATAAGTTCGGAAAGTTCTTTAAGGAATTAAAGAGGAAAACTCTCCACTAAAATATTATTTCAATCTCCATAAAAATAATGTCTGGTTGCTTGGGTGTTAAAACACCTTTAAACAGGCTGAGAACAGCCCTTACACGTTCCACACCCTTAAGGAAAAGGAAACAACATAATTAGGCAATTGAACTGCCTTACACGCCTAAAACAGAAAAAGGAAGCTCCCTTTTGGCAATAACGCCTTTACAATTAGGAAAGTAAATGATATCCAAATAAGGAAATAGAATAAAACTGACAACTAATTAACTAAAGAAAAGGAAACTTAAAAATAGGAAACAAGGAAACTGCTCCTTATTTGGAAAGCTGGAAATAGGAAATCAGCCTAGATGCCACACGCCCAAGAAGCTTGCTTCACGCCCAAGTCTTCTATTCAGCCTTCTCAATTGCTTTTGATGTCATGGACCAAGGCTTGTGCATCATTTGGACTCATATTTGGCTCCACCTTTTTAGAATCAGCCCAAAGTTCTTAAATTAAACCATTGAGTGCTTCTTTGAACCTTTTAGCCCTTGCTCTTGTAATTGGCCCACTGGGTATCTGCAATGGATCCTTTGTTGGTGCTACTATATTCTCATCATAAGCCAATCGAGGGGGAGAGCGGGGCAAATGTTAAGTCCTGCTCTGAACCGATTAAAGCCCAAAAAACTCATAAGGAGAGTCGGTGGAAGCCCAAAGGTAGGTCTAAATTTATTAGGGCTAAAATTGAAAAGTGGAAAGAAAGTTTTTAGAGGAAAGAGTCCAAAAAAGTTGTTCTACAATATTTGAGTGCAGGAGAATTGGAAGATCGTAGAATCAAACCTTTTCCTCTTTTCTATCGGAGATTGAGAAAATCTAATCAAGCTCATGTAGGTTCGGTCGAACCAGGGGATGACAGAAAATTGGAAGAGTATTTTGCCGAGGAGGGCATGCTGGAATCCAAAGGGGATAATGATTTTCTTTCACAAGGAGGGCATTCTTGGTAAGGAGAGAGTTGGTCTCGTTCAGTTTCCTCCTTTCGCTCAACGGACGAAGAAGAAGAGGCGGAGAACCAAGGGGATTTTGTCGGGCTTGAGGAAATAAGGTTTCTCACGGCAACTAATAATTCAGAAGAATTGATGACCGAGGAAGGAAGGGTAAAGTCTTTGGGCTCTTATGAAGGCCAAGCCCTTAGCCCGTTCGTTCTTAATTTGCCTCCTTTAGCATCTCTGAAACCAACTGGATGAGAGGAAAACTTGGAGAACTGTTTGGAGGGTGGAGCACAGGTAGGAGATGTTTTAAAGGCTGTTGAGGTCGGTGGGGAGTTGTTGAAATCTTACCTTAGTTCGGATTTCCAGGGCTGCATCATTCTATATTAGGATAGTTGAATATTTGTATTAAGTTACCTAATTTTCTGTTTATTCTCTTTCCTTATTTAGGTTAGATTGTTTCCCGTATTTTTTGTTTACCTTTTATTATGTTCACACGGTTTGCATACTACAACTGTGTCCTATATATATGTGTTGGAGATTTTGTCAATTGTGTAAATATTTATTCTTTCTGCTTATTGTATGATTTAGTCAAAATAGGAAAGTATAAATTAGGAAGATATTGTAGGATTGTCTAGCGTAATTTAGGGATTCTTTCCTTAACTTTCTCTCTTAATTGCCGTGACCAATGGCTTACTAAGTGTATATATTCTGACAAGGTTAATGAGAATTATGAAGCAAGAATTATTCTTCTCTCTGTTTCTCTTGTTTCATGGTATCAGAGCCACCGAAACTGGTGACTAGTCAAGAAAACAGAAAAAAAAAAAATGTCTGAAGAACAGCCGAATACGCCCTCAGAGGAGTCTTCAACAGCAATTGATCAAGCATCTCTAAGATCTATATCCGGAGCCTCATCTACACACTCGCTGGACAGCCACTCGCTGCAAATCACACAGCACAAGCTTAATGGGCTGAATTTCCGAGAATGGTTTCAGTCCGTCATTCTTGTTGTCAGAGGAAGAGGGAAGGTTGGATACTTGACAGGAGCAATCACAGCACCACCGGACACAGCACCAAACTACCGCACTTGGGAGGGAGAAAATTCGATCGTCATGGCATGGCTTATTAATTCTATGGAGCCAAAGATTGGAAGAACTTATCTGTTTTACAAGACAGCGAAGGAGATTTGGGAGGCAGTCCAAGAAATCTATTCTGATCTTGAAAACACGTCTCAATGTTTCGAGATTAGGTCAAAAATCCGCAACACCATACAAGGGAGTCTTACTGTCACTGAGTATTATAATTCTCTCTTAGAATTATGGCAAGAAATGGATCTCTTTTATGAGATTGGATGGCTGTGTGCTACTGACGCAGAAAAATACAAAAAAATGCTTGAGAAAGAGCGTACCTTTGATTTTTTGCAGGGCTTGAATCCAGATTTAGATGAAGTACGTGGACGGCTACTTGGGATGAAACCATTTCCAACTCTCCGAGAATCGTTTGCTGAAGTCAGGAGAGAAGAAAGCAGGAAACGAGTGATGATGAATCCCTCTAGTCGTGACATGCCTTCCTTGGAAACACGAGGGTCTGCACTTGTGGCAAACAAACAAGATGGCAGTCGTGGGTTTCAATACAAACAAGATGGCAGCCGTGGCTCTCAATCAAAGGACAAGGTCTGGTGTGATTATTGTAACAAGCCCTATCACACTCGTGAAACTTGCTGGGATTTACATGGCAAGCCACCAGATTGGAAACCAAGGAAGCAACGTGGGCAATCAAGTTCAGCCCACATAGTGGAGGCGAAATCAACCCGCAGGGAGGAGACAGAATCGGACAGGGCTGCTGGTTTTAATCTCTCAACAGAGCAAGTGGAGATGCTACGGCAGCTTCTCAACCAAACTCAGGTTTCAACAGGATCCGCAAATCAGACTTCAAAACCTCCCACTGCAGCTATGGCACAAACAGGTATAATGAGTCAAGCATTCCTGTCAAAATCTCTGCAAGCAGACTGTTGGATTGTGGATACAGGGGCTTCTGACCATATGACCGGGTCAATGGAGTTTTTTGAGCAATATGACAGGTGCAATAACCTAATTAATGTCTGGGTTGCTGATGGAAAAATGTCACCTG